TCAAGCAAATATCACACAATAAATTGAATGCAGACACAAATGACATACCAAACACCAAAGAAATTTGCAAAAGATTAAGATTGTACTACTTTGGGTTTAGAAATTTTCTTTTCATAAAAGCATTTATAACAATATTTGGTGAACCTTTAAAGAATATTTTGAATATTTCTGATTTAATTTCTAGTGATAAATACCAGTAGATATCACCTACATACACAAAAGCTCCTTGGGCCCTCAATATATTTTTAAGAGTGTAAAGGTATCCTGACCCCAAAACTTTGAGACCTGCTGTCTTCCCCTCCACTTTCTTCCTTCCCTTGAATTTCTTCCTTGGAAAAACATTCCTTTGCCATTCTACGTTAACTTATTTAGTTCAATTGAGGCCAGTTTTGCTACCTCTCTCCCGTCTTTCCACATCCTTCTCTTGACACAAAACCTGACCAAAGGAGTCTACCAGCCCACCCCATTTCCAGTGATTAGCTGTCAGGTGGGCTAAGCCAAGCAAATCTGAGTTTTCCCTGAGACTAGACCTCTCTTTCTGGGAGATATGGAACCACAGGGACAAGATGGGCCACCTTGGGGTAGTCAGAATTCATCTTGCCTAAATGGGAAGAGGTTAGGCAAGTTTCTAGAAAGCCAAACTGCTTTCTGGAAAGTCAAAGATAATTATACTTTCTGCCACGACTGTGAGAATGCCCATTTCATTGCACACTTTCTAGTATTTTTACCAATCTGATAAGTAAAAGCTGGTACCTAGAAGAAAAAAAGGCCGGGTGTGGTGGCTCATGCCTGTAATCCCAGCACTTTGGGAGGCCAAGGTGAGTGGATCACCCAAGGTCAGGAGCTCCAGACCAGCCCGGCCAACATGATGAAACCCCATCTCTACTAAAAATACAAAAATTAGCCAGGCATGGTGGCAGGCTCCTGTAATCCCTGCTACTCGGGAGGCTGAGGCAGGAGAATCACTTGAATCTGGGAGGCAGTGGTTGTAGTGAGCCAAGATCATGCCACTGCACTCCAGCCTGGGTGACAAGAGCGAGACTTTATCTCAAAAAACAAATTTTCCATACAATATAATTTGCTCCATGTCTAGAAACTAATTCAGCAATGAGAACTGAAAGCCTCACTTGGAAGGTTTCAAGGATTTAGCTGTACCTATGGATGTCCAAACATTAGTTAAGGTAGAAAAAAAAATACACACACACACACACACACACACACACACACACTCACCCCTATGTATTCAGTACCAGGAAACACAATGACTAGACGGTACAGTCATCCAACACAAAGCACACAATAACTGAAGGCACTGTAGAGGAGTAACTTCTGACATGGATCTACAATATTGTTGAGTGAAAAAGCAGATTACAAAAAAAAAATCTGATTTTGTAAGGGAGAGGGAACACATACAAGCACAGGAGAAAAGAGATGAGCAGAGGACTGGAAAAATACAAAATTCTCATGGTGGCACATTCTGAGTGGTAGAATTATAGGTATGATTTTCTAGTTTTGCCTAAAAATTTTCTAAACTTCTTAAAATAAGAAGTTTTTGTTATCCATATTATAAAATATCCATCACCCCAGCAAATTTAACCTTGAGCACAAACATGTTCAATGTTTGTTCAGTTTAATATTTAAGAAAGACATCTAAAATGATGACTAATATTTAAACCTATGCATTAATATTTTTCAATAATATGCTTTACATTTTGTAATTTTGATAAGGTTAAACTTTATATCCATCTTGAAAAGATAAGTTTTCTATTTGTCTTTAAAATATGACCTACAATATGCCTGTTTTTAAACAGTGAATGATGCTCAAAAATCGCAATATAAATTCAGGCAGTGTTCCTTACATGGAATGTTTAAGGGTTTCTAACACTGTTCTTTCTCACCGGTTATGAAAACACAGAACAATTATCTACACATCTAATTATTCAGGTACTTTGTTTCTCCTCCATTCTATTAGTTTTATAGTAATTTTAAGGCCTGTGAGGATGAAGTTGTCTGTGACAGTTACCACAAAGGTTACTATAAGCAGACAAATTTCAAACAGGTTATCACCACTACCATCCCCACCATACAACTGTCTCAATCAAGGGCAACACAATTCAAGGTTAGCCAAGACAACCTCTTTACCTGTCACTGCTTAAGAAAAGAATTTTTTGGTCTTATTTAGAAATAACTTTCTGTATCTATTTTTCTCCACAAATCCACTGAGACCAAGGTGTGGCTCTATCTCAAGCACCAGTAGGCAAAACTGCCTGCCAGTATGTTCAGTTTCTGTATCTTTCCAAATGTGTGGCACAGCTATCTTTTGATATCATAATGTTTTGAAAACTGAAGCACAAACTTCTTCTTGAAAGTTCAGTCGGGCTCGGTAGCTCACGCCTGTAATCCCAGCACTTTAGGAGGCCAAGGCAGGCAGATCACAAAGTCAGGAGTTCAAGACCAGCCTGGCCAACATGGGGTCTCTACTAAAACTACAAAAATTAGCTGGGTGCGGTGGCAGGTGCCTGTAATCCCAGCTACTCGGGAGGCTGAGGCAGGAGAATTGCTTAAACCTGGGCAGCAGAGGTTCCAGTGAGCCGAGATCGCGCCACCGCACTGCAGCCTGGGTGATAGAGTGAGACTCCATCTCAAAATTAAAAAAAAAAAAAGAATTTCAGATGTACAGCAGCTGTAATTCTTCTGAAGGCTGGTTATGGGACACATTACTTTCATACTTTGTTGTTCAATAAATGTGGGGTGGAGAATAAAGTAAATTGTCAGAATTACCATATAAAATAAAATTCTAAGTCCTCTGACAACAAAAGAAACTTAAAATACACACACACACACACACACACACACACGGTTTTCCCTAATCATTTTACAACTAAACAACCAATAAGCTAACCAGGGCCCACAAAAGCAGAGTAAAAATTCTATCTCTTGATAAAATAAAAATGCACATATATCCCTGTCATCTAAAAAAATGCTTAAGTATTCAAAGACAGACAGCAATTATAGCTACTGAGAACATCATTGTAAGCAAACTAAGGCAGAGAAAACAAAGGTGCTGATGAGGATTTGAACCACCGAACCTGCAGAAACCCACTAGATGGTTTCCTAGGTTCCAAGTTGGCATTATCTTTCAGAACGATCTTCTAGAAAAGATTACATAACACTGTTACAAAGGATCTGGGGAGAGGGATGCTGGCTTGATAAAGCCAGCTGGCTTGATGCTCTGGCTCTCCAGTCATGCTTTACATTTTCACTTCTTACACTCTCTTTCATATGAAGTCAATTTACAGACTTCTATCAAGCCCTTAGAGACCTTTTTGTACTATCCATGACGAGTTCTTGATGTTATCTCTGCACTTTTGACACATTCTTAGCAGTTAACTTACAAGGCAGTTAAGATTTTTGTTCAAGCACAATGTAGTGACAATAGAATCACACACTTAATAAAACAAATATTTACCAAGCATTTATTCAGTGGAAGATGAAAAGCACAAAGTATAATTATAAAATATTCTCCCCTGCCACCATTTTAAAAAAAGTAAAAAGGCTTACAGAATACAGCATAACATGACCAAAGCAAAAATAGTAAGGACTAAAGAGGGGAGGAAGGTGATATATCAGCATGAACAAAATATGACCCAGAAGAGCCTTGGTGGTCAGACATGTAAAGACAAATTGGGTAGGGTTAGTGGGTGGCTGTCAGGGGCACATTCTACAGGGGAAAAATAGCTGATACAGAAGCCTGAAAGGAAAAGCGGGCAGAGCGCATGTACAGGACTGTTAACCTGCCGCATCCACTGTACAATGCGCCTTTCCAGAACATAGCGGCGGCCCGGGGACGGGATGGCTCAAACAGCACCAGAGGCTGCATTCCAACTTTTTCTCCCTCAACAAGTCCGTTTTCATTGTTAGTTTCTCCTTAAACACAAACTTAAAAACGATTGGCTGAACACGAGAGAACAAGGAAAACCTGACTGAGGAATGAGGCCTTTAAACTTAAGGGCCTTTGGGGTCCGGGCGCGGTGGCTCAGGCCTGTAATCCCAGAACTTTGGGGGGCAGAGGTGGGTCATTTGAGGTCAGGAGTTCGAGACCAGCCTGGCCAACATGGTGAAACCCTGTCTCTACTAAACAACACAAAAGTTAGCCAGGCGTGGTGGCGGGCGCCTGTAATCCCAGCTACTCGGGAGGCTGAGGCAGCAGAATCGCTTGAAGCCATGGACTGTCAAGGGACAGAGGCTGCAGTAAGCCAAGATCGCCCCACTGCACTGCAGCCTGGGCGACAGAGTGAGACTCCATCTCAACAAGTGCTTTCCATCATGCCGGTTAATTTTTGTATTTTTAGTAGAGACAGGGTTTTACCATGTTGGCCTGGCTGGTCTAGAACTCCTGACCTCAGGTGATCCACCCGCCTCAACCTTCCAAAGTGCTGGGATTACAGGAATGAGCACTGCGCCCGGCCAAAAAACCGAAAATCTTAAAGGCCTTTCCCCTTCCCCGCCTGGGCTCAAACAACAGCCGGAGCCAACCTGTCATGCCCCGTCGCGGTTCCGGAGCAGGTCGGCTGACTGAGGGCGACCACGGGCCCCGAAAGGGCTGCGGGAGACGCGGGCTCCCACCTCGGGAAGCGGCCACCAGGGCGAGAGGTGCCAGCAGTCCCCATGCCAGCCCTGCGCAAGGAGCCAGAGAGACGCACCCTCAGCCTCCTCCTACCCAAGCCTCCCGCAGTCCCCGCGATCTGGGCCAGGCCAGTCGCAGGAGAAAGGGGTGTGTTGGCCCAGCCCGGGGAACCGGGGCCTCTCCGGGGCAGGCTCCCCTTTGTCCCGGGACTCCAGGAGCCTCCTCTCCGCCCTCGCCCTGACCCGCGAGGCCGCGGCTGGGCGCCTCATCATGACGTTGCAGTGGAGCGTGAGCTGCCGCGGCTCCTGGTTCTTGTGGAAGATAGAGGCTAGCAACTTCAGCTTGGCCTTGAACCCTGACAGGGACATCTTACCCTCATTTCCGGCGGGAGGGGCGCGGAAGGTGAGCCCATCCGGAGCCCCTGTCATGGCCACGACCACCCGGCAGGACAGCCCGGCGGAGCTCTGGCCGCTCTGCCTCTCCCCACTGCCTCCACTGTAGTCGGAGCACGGCTGGAAAATGGTAAGGGGTACCGAGGCCTCTGCGGGGAGCTGTGTGGCGGCCTGGGCGGCTGCTCCCCTTGTAACCGACTCCACCGACAGGAGGCGCGGCTCCTGTCAAGCCGCAGCTTAAAAGGGCAACAGCACCACCGCCCCCTCTACCGCCTGGGAAAGGGCTGCCCCCACCTTACCCCCTTCCCTCTCACTCCTTACCCCCGCGCTCCCAGTGCCCACCCATTTCCGCAGGTGCAAGAGTCTGGAGCATGAGTGCGCTTCTGGCTGCCCCCTCCTAGCCTTGACTCAGCACTGCTGGACCCATCTAGTCCGTTCCTGGCACTGGCGGACTGGAGGCTCCGGGCAGCACAACCACCAACTCGTGTGTGCGTGTGTGTGTTGGGGGTGCGGGGTGGGGGGCACAAAACCACTAACGTGTGTGTGTGTGTGTGTATGTATGTTTCTGTCTCCCAAGGGAACAGCACTGCTGAGTTCAGGCTGAGTTCAGTCCTCGTGGACTGTAAGCAAAATACACTCACAAGAAGGCTATGTGCTGTTTTGTCTTTTGCAGTGACATCATGTTTGCAGTGACATCATGTGGCTCATGTTTTATGTTTTTCAGAGTTCATTAGTTTCTGTTTGTTCTCAGTTAATATCCAGCTCAATAGATTGTGTAAGTAGAATACCCCCAAACTGAAAGTCACCTACATAAAATATAGTGAAAAATATGTCACTCACTTAAACTATAGTTGAAAACATGTACTCATTAGTTTTGTGTAGCCAACACTGGATATTGGGTAAGGGCACAGGATCCCAGGGCTAGACTGCCTGGGTTCAAGTTCCGATTGAGCCACTTGCTGGCTTTGAAATACTTGACAGCTTTAAGCCTCAGTTTCTTTCTTTTTTTTTTTTTTTTAACTTAATCCCAAATGTGATAGTAAGTCTCAGTTTCTTGATCTGAAAAACAAATTATTCAATGAGAGTCTATGTGAAAAGCTACTATCTGGCTCAGGAAAGTCCTCAGTTTTAGCCCTTATTAGCTATGATTATTATTGTGCTGGCTACACATATATTAATGAGGCAGGAAAATGCTCAAGGATAACAACCAAGTATCCAGATTATTTCATCAGATCGAGACAGATACATATGTGTGTATGCTCATGTTTTAGCTCAGAGCCATTTGTCTAAAAGGCTGTTGAACTCAGAGGCCCAGGCAGTATCAACTTTACTTTGCAGTGGAGCCATCACTTTTGTTAATCAATGAAATTGACATAATGCTCTTTTTTTTTTCTTTTTAGCACCAACCATGTGCCTAGAGCTAACTGTGTCAAGAAGAGCATACTTCAATTGGCTGGAGTGAGCAATTCAACTTGTGGAGGAATGAGAAATGATAGTGTTGAGACAAGAAACATAAAAACCCAGGGTAAGGTAGGAATCACTGAAAGTCAGGCAAAGGAACTGGCATCCAGTGATGAGTCAGGCTTTGCCCGTCTCTGGCCCTACAGATGGCTCTTTGGAAAGGAAAAAATTAAGCCAGGCCCGAGGGCACAGATCCTAAGGGACTGCTGGCAGCTCTAGGCTGTCTATGGAAGAGAAGCAGAGGGTGGCATCTGGTTGAAAGAGGGAGCTGGGGGGCATGGCTTGAGCCTGTGTTTACAGATGGAGTCCCCTGATTCCTGCGACTGGGGAAGGAGATCATGCCTGGATCAGGGGACCTCAAATCAGAACTTTTCCCACCCACACTACTTCTTGTCAGGGCATCTTTCACTGCAAACAACAGATAAACTAGTTGAAAGCTCAGTAGATTCTCATGATGGTGCCCAGCAGGCCAGGCCTAGCTGCCCTTTAACATGTGACTGAGGGTGATGCCACTGGCCCATAAGGACACACTGGAAACTGTTTACATCCATGGACACACCCTGCCCCACAGAGACAGCTATGCAGGGTTCTTTAGGTTTGGGGTGCTGTGCTGGCAGTTGCCTTATAAATATGTAGGATTAAAATGGGATGCCCTGGAGCTTAGCTGACCTTTACCCCCCACTCTAAAATGAAGGGGCTGCTAGTTTTGTCTGTTTTATGAAAGATGGGTCTGTCATTGTTTTTAGAACCTTTGGAGAAAGATTTCTTGGGAGGAAGCTACCCTGAACGCTCAAGAGATTTTTCTCATTTACTGGCGCACCAGCTTTAGAGTCCAGGTCTTCATCCTGGCTCAGCCACCCTCCAGCTGTGTGGCCTTTGAGAAGTTGCTTGACTACACTGAGTCTCACTGTCACTATGAGTGGAGGTTGCTACATTGCTACTGTGTGGAGCACCTTCCCCCAGGCACTCCTATAGGGTGATGGTGAAGATTAAATGAAATAATGAGGCTGAAGGGGGAGGATCGCTTGAGGCCAGGAGTTTGAGACTAGCCTGAGCAACAAAGCCAGACCTCATTTCTAGGAAAATTTTTTTTGGTTTTTTTTTGAGATAGAGTCTCACTCTGTTGCCCAGGATGGAGTACAGTGGCATGATCTCAGCTCACTGCAAGCTCTGCCTTTCGGGTTCATGCCATTCTCCTGCCTCAGCCTCTGGAATAACTGGGACTACAGGTGCCCGCCACCACACCTGGCTAATTTTTTGCATTTTTAGTAGAGACAGGGTTTCACCATGTTAGCCAGGATGATCTCGATATCCTGACTTCATGATCCACCCGCCTCAGCCTCCCAAAGTGCTGGGATTACAGGCATGAGCCACCGCACCCAGCCCAAAAATGTATTTTAAAAAATTAGCTGGACTTAATTGTTTATGCCTGTAGTCCCAGCTACTAGGCAGGCTGAGGTGAGACCACTTCAGCCCAAGAGTTTGAGGCTGCAGTGAGCCATGATTGCACCACTGCATTCCAGCCCAGGCAACAGAGAGAGACCCTATCTCAAATAAATGAATGAGTCAGAAAATAAATAAATAAATAAATAAATGAAATAATGCATTTAATTAGTACACTAGTACATGATCAGGCACATGATAAATGCTTGATAAATGGTAGCCCCAATAAGCTTTGTAATGTTTTGGGAGAGAGTGTCCTTTGGACTCAGCCCAGTCACAGAAGCATTTGAAAAGACTGATTTGTATGATGGCTATTTCCTACAGGTAAAAACCTGTACCTCAAGGGACCCAGGGCATTGCCTCAATGGGGCACTTTATTCTATTTACTCTTGTTTTGGGCAGCACCTGTTGCCCTAGGGCTAAGCAGGACTGCTACCACAGACTCAATTGCCAAGAGTATCTCCCTCCCCAAGCTAGCCGTGGGAAAGCCACTTGCATCATAAGACTACAGGAAATCAAAGGGAATAAAAACCACAATTTAGTCACTCACTCTCCAGTTCATGGGAAATAGGTTTTTGCTATTTTGAACAGAGCTGTTAGGAACATTCATTGTCCACATCCCCTGTTTTATATAGGCAAGAATTTCTCTTGGATGTAGAGTAGAATTGCTGGGCTGGGAGGAGTGTGAATATTCAACCTTATGAGATGGAGCCAAACTGTTTTCCAAAGTGGTCATACCAGTGTATACTCCCAGCAGCAGTTCTTAAGAGATCTCAGGATCTCTATCTTCTGATGATGTCACAAGCATTCAAAAAGAATAAATGCCAGCTATAAACAACAATAAAGATGAATCTTAGCAATATAATATTAAGTGAAAAAAGCAAGTTCCAGAAGGATACATACAGCATACTTTATATAACTTGGAAAAGAAAATGTGGGCATGTTGGCTCATGCCTGTAATCCCAGCACTTTGGGAGGCCAAGGCAGGAGGATTGCTTGAGGCCAGGAATTCAAGACCAGCCTAGGCGACACAGCAAAACTCTGTCTCTACAAAAGCTAGAAAAATTAACTGGGTATGGTGGTGCAGGCATTTAGTCCCAGCTACTCATGAGGCTGAGGTGGGAGGATCTCTTGAGTCTAGGTGCTCAAGGTTACAGTGAGCCATGACTGCACCACTGCACTCCAACCTGGGCAACAGAATGAGACCTTGTCTCTAAAGAAAAAAAAAAAGTAAATAAGTAAAATTTAAACACATAATGTGTATATATACTTTAAGATTATATAAAGATAAAATAAAAAACTGTACCTCTAGGGGAAGATTGTATAAAGATAAAATAAAAAACTGTATCTCTAGGGGAAGAGAGACATCTGTACACACATTTCATGGCAGCATTATTCACAATAGCCAAAAGACACACGGTACAACATGGGTGAACCTTGAAGACATTATGCTAAGTGAAATAAACCAGCGCAACAAGACAAATACTGTATGATTCTGCTTGTAGGAGATATTTAGAGTAGTCAAACTCAGAAATAGAAAGTAAAATGGTGGTTGCCAGCATCTTGGAAGGAGGGGAAAACAGGGAGTTATAAATGGGTGTAGAGTTTGAGTTTTGCAAGATGGAAAGAGTTCTTGGAGGCCAGGAGCAGTGGCTCAAGCCTGTAATCCCAGCACTTTGGGAGGCCAAGACAGGCGGATCACGAGGTCAGGAGATGGAGACCATCCTGGCTAACACGGTGAAACCCCATCTCTACTAAAAAATACAAAAAACTAGCCGGGCAAAGTGGCGGGCACCTGTAGTCCCAGCTACTTGGGAGGCTGAGGCAGGAGAATGGCGTAAACCCGGGAGGCGGAGCTTGCAGTGAGCTGAGATCTGGCCACTGCACTCCAGCCTGGGTGACAGAGCTAGACTCTGCCTCAAAAAAAAAAAGAAAAAAGAAAAGAAAAGAAAAGAGTTCTTGGAGACAAATCACAGAAGTGTGAATACACTTAGTACTGAACTGCACACTTAACAGTGGTAGTGATGGGAAATTGCATGCCATGTGTATTTTACCACGATTTTGAAAAGAAAAAAGGAACTTAAGGGAACTAAGAATGTGAGATTCAGGAAAGTGATTCCCTGTGGTAGGGGGAAGTAATAGGGAGTTGGGAACATGGGACAGTGGTGTGTCACCAGCTGCAAGTTGTCAAGGTCCTAACTAATTTTGCATAGTGAGTTTCCTTTAAAAATAGTGCTTATTGTATTTTTAAAATAAACAGACATATTAAAATGCTCCTGCATTTTACCAATGGGAGAGTGTGTCATGAACCAGGGATAAGATCGATCCAATTATCTACACCTGAAGGGAAAGATATTCAACCTCAAAATTACCTGTAGGAAATTATAAACTGTTTTAAAATTTACAGTAAGGATGTAAACATCTCTCCTGACATTTTCCTTTTGTCATTTTCATGAAGTCCTGACTTAAAGAACCCTTCTTTAAATTACTGCAGATAGAAGGTACACATAGAAAACTGAACCAGGAAGATTCCCATCTGGCAATTTTAGTCACATTTAGTCATATTTCTCCACCCAAGAGAAACAAAGAGAAGCTTGTCCCTTCAGAAAGCTATGATTTTTTTAAAAAAATTCAACAAAATACTAATTTATTAAATAATACAAGTGACAATTTGGTTGCAAGTTGGCAGCTCAAAATTTCTAATTTTTAATATGATTGATCCATAATAAATGTGATAATTGACTTATTCTGGTTCAGATTTGTTATCAGATGTTGATTTAACAAGGTTTTGTTCAGGTCTGTTTATGTCATGGGGTCACAATATATGTTTTAGAGCTGAAAGTAACTATAGAGATTATCTTGTCCAGAGATAGCAAATTCTTGGCACACTTGCCTCTAGTCCCCAAACCCATGCTCATGGCAGACATTGCTAATCAATAGCAGGATGTTTCCCTCACAAGCCTGGTCTACCTCAGAATCCTTTCTACACAGATTTCCAAGCAGCCACTTGGTCCCAGTCCATGATTTGAATCCTATTGGCATCCCTTAATCTAGTCCAACTGTCTGCTTGTACAGATGGAGAAACACAGTAAGGAGGTGAATTATGCAAAGTCACACAGGAGACAAAATTTATTCACATTTTCTGAGCTCTAGTCCAGTGTCTTTCTCATTACCTTTGAGGCATCCCTTCCTTTGTGTCTCTGATATAAACCAGGCACTCTTGTCATCACAGGAATCCCAGGCTCTGCTGATTCAATGAGCTGAATCCAACTCACAATATGCAGCTCCACTCATGGATGTTTTTCTTTCTGGGATTGCAGGCCTCTCTCTTCCTCTCTGTCCTTTCAGCTGCTACTCACACTGGTGGTGACGGCTTCCACGGAGGAGAACGCATCCTCCTTATCTTCTGTGAACCTCCTCTTGCATCTCCCCAAAGTGCTTTACAAGCAAACTACAGCACTGCCAGCTTTGGGGTGGCCATAACTCATTTTATGCTGGCCACTGAGCTCCCCTCCATGGTTGCATTGTTGACATGGAGCAGATTCTGCTTCATTGCCTGAAATGATTCCCCCTCCAAAACCACCACTCCACCTGCATACACAAATGACTGAAGATTTCTTTCTCCGAGAAAACCTACAAACTCCAAATTGTTAGATAAATGAAATGGAGACCAAATTACAAAAGCAGGTAATTGGCTGTGATCCATGTGAAATAGCTGTGGAAACAAAACTGAAGACCATCTAGTGCCTTCTGAAATTGGCCTTAATTAAGATGCTTTTACGAAGCTGGGAAAAGGCAGGCAGCAGCTCAGGATCTTTAGTGCCACAAAATAATGGAAAGGCCTTTAACCTCTGAAAGGGATACCAGGAGCAGGCAGGGCATTATCCTCTTCTTTGAACCATGAGAGGACATTTTACAACCTCTGCCAAGATGCCTCGATTCAAATTAAAATTCAAGTGGTTTTGCCAGTCCCTCCTCCAAGTGAGAAGTACATACCTCCTCTTAAAGCCATAGGAAAGGCATTGGAGAGAACTGGCTGTCTTCTCATTTTGGACATGAGAAAGTGGGGCACAGATCAGACAAGAACTGGCCATAAGTCACACCTGGGGACTCAAAGCTTAAAGTCAGAGCTCTGTATCATAACGAGTGGCCCTTGCTTGGGTGCCTGGGAAAGGGACGTACCAAACAGAGCAAAGAAACCTGCAACTGATGGCAGCCTCCTGGGGGAACACACTGCTGGTGGTGGCAAAAGGACAGCAAGGGGCCTCGCAATCAGAGGTGAGAGAGGACAGACCAGCACTGAAACTGATGAGTCAACTGTGTTAGCATGGTGCTGTTGCATTGCAGATGTTCTCTCTTTTAATTATCTCAACAAATCTGGGTGATTAAACCCATTTCATGGATGAGAACATGGAGGCTCAGAGACAGTAAGTAAGTTGTCTAAGGTGGTCTCATTACAAGTTAGCTGTGCAGGCTGGGTACAGTGGCTCATGCCTATAATCCCAAAACTTTGGGAGGCCAAGGCAGGAGGATCACCTGTGGTCAGGAATGTGAGACCAGCCTGGCCAACATGGTGAAACCCTGTCTCCACTAAAAATACAAATATTACCCAGGCATGGTGGTGGATACCTGTAATCCTAGCTGCTTGAGAGGCTGAGACAGGAGAATAGCTTGAACCCAGGAGGCAGACGTTGCAGTGATCTGAGATCATGTCACTGCACTCCAGCCTGGATGACAGAGCAAGACTCCATCTCAAAAAAAAAAAAAAAAAAAAAAAGGTTCAAAAGCATTAGAAACCAAATAAACGTGATGAAAACAGTGAGATTTTCTGCTTACAGACCAGCAAAGAGGACAAATGGAAGGGGGAAACTGCAGCTCTGCCACTGTTGTTGGGAGTATAAACTGAACCAATTTTTCTGCAGGATAATTTTTAAATTTCTATTAAAAACCCTAAAACTGTTTTATGTTATTTTCCTCCAGAAATTCTACTTCTTTGAATTCATTCCAAAAATGCTTGCTCGAATCCATTAAAAAATATATGTAAGAAAATTTACTTCTGGGGTGGCAATGATTAAGTTAATATACATCAATCTATTAAAAATGATGCCAAAGATAGATTTGCTGCCATAGTGACAAAAGATAGTGACAAAAGACTATATAACAATTCTACTTTTTAAAATGTTTATATGCATGAAAAAGTATAAAAAGCAACAAACCAGAATGTTTTGAGTGGCAAAATTAGAGACTTTTCTTCATATTTGTCTTCCAAATTATTACAAAAAGAATGTGATTTTCTTTATAATCAGGGAGACATATTATTTTCATTTATTTATATTTAAATTTCTTTTCTTTTCCTTATTTTTTCTCATGTATGTATCACATGTAGTCTAGAGAGCTTGAATCCCTGCCTCTTGAGGTAAATCAGCCCATTTCTGTTTCTATAAATTTGCCTTTTTTGGACATTTCAAGTCAATGGAATTATACAGCATGTGGTCTTGTGTCTGGCTTTTTTACTTAGCTAATGTTTTTGAGGTTGGTTCATGACATATTGTAGCTGGACGAGCCACAGACAAAACTCCTCAGGCGCTGGGTTAAAGAAGGAAGGAGCTTTATTCAGCTGGGAGCTTCGGCAGACTTGCATCTCAAAAGCTGAGCTGCCCAAGTGAGCACTGCCTGTCCGTTTTAAGGGTTTACAACTCTAAGGGCATCTGCGTGAGAGAGTCATAATTGATTGAGCAAGCAAGGGGTACATGACCAGGGACTGCATGCACCAGTAATTGGAATGGAACAGAACAGGACAGGGATTTTCACAATGCTTTTCCATACAATGTCTGGAATCTATAGATAACACAAGCAGTTTGGTGAGGGGTTGATTTTTAACTATCAGGCCCAGGGCACGTGCTGGGCTATCTGCCTGTGGATTTCATTTCTGCCTTTTAGTTTTCACTTCTTCTTTCTTTGGAGGCAGAAATTGGGCATAAGACAATATGAGAGGTGGTCTCCTCCCTTATTCCCCCCTTTGAGAACTTCACTCATTAGTGAGAGTTCTCACTTTTATCCTCACTACCTATGTCTTCTAGTAGGACAAATCGATAGTGATTTGTATAGTACACTTTTGCTGAAGCATTTTGGTGAACTAAAGTAGTGATGGAGGTTTTTATCATTTGAAGGAGTACAGGTAGCAAACAAGGGAGTAGTAAGCGGGTTCCTATTACTATTATAATTTCTATTATAAGAGTTTTAAATCCTCCTAGCACCAGAAATCATTTTCTAAACATGGCCCCAGGATTAAATCCATGCCACACTTCATGGGCACAGGTACCAATTTTGTCATATCTGTATGTCTTCAACTACTTGCCCTTGAACATCTATGTGTAGACAGGAACTGGTAAGGTTGAATTTCCTACAGACCCCTCCCTCAGTGCTAGCAAGTAGTTGAGAGCCAATCTATTTTGATAGATAGCGTTTCTCATCTTAGTTTCTTGGCAGGCCAGAATAGTCAAGGTTCTGCCGGTTTTATTAGTGATTATTTCTCTTTTTTTCTTTTTTCTTTTGTCTTTTTTTTTTTTTTTTTTTTTTTTTGAGATGGAGTCTCACTCTGTCACCCAGGCTGGAGTGCATTGGCACATCTCAGTTCACTGCAACCTCCACCTCCTGGGTTCATGCCATTCTCCTGCCTCAGCCTCCTAAGGAGCTGGTACCACAGGTGCCCACCACCACACCTGGCTATTTTTTGTGTGTTTTTAGTAGAGACAGGGTTTCATGGTGTCAGCCAGAATGGTCTCAATCTCCTGACCTCGTGATCCACCTGTCTCAGCCTCCCAAAGTGCTGGGATTACAGGTGTGAGCCACTGCACCCAGCCTCTAAGACAACTTGTAACTGTATGATTTGGTTAAGCATGTAAATGGGGGTCTGGTGTCCCCTCGAGCTGTCTTGTGCCCAAGTAGCAGGCCCATAGTATTGTATGATTTTTTTAGGGGACCATTTATTGTCTTTCCGATTACCTATAGCTTTTTTTGTTTGTTTGTTTGTTTGTGTTTGTTTGCAGGAAGCATAGATAGGGAAGCCCAGGAGTTCACCTGTTTTTATGGGCAGTAGGAAGAAGGATGGTTTAATAGTGCCAGTAACACAACTACCTGCCTACTGGTAGGGTAATTTGGCATAAACTCTATGCCTGCATATTCAGTATAATCCAGTGGGGGCTGTCCAGTCCTGGTGGGACTCTGGGTAGGTCCACTCAGTTTGCAACTTTGAGAATTTACTAAATGGATTCTTTTTACTATGGCCTAGACCCCACCAGATGACTGTTTTTAATTTTATGTTAAAAACTGTGACCATGGGGGGCTCAGATGGGTTATAACACACATCAGGCTGGTCACTTCCTGGGCTACATATCTTGTACTGGGTGGCATTATACAAACAAGTCCCTTTTAGAGTTCCAGCACATTTATAATAACTGTAGAAGAAAAAGAAAATTTTAACTTTTTGCCCTACCTTAGTGACCTGATGTATACACTGGGAACAGTCCTTAGTTTGAGGAAGGTCAGTTGAAGTCCCTACTGTACAAGTCCAAAATTTAAGGAAAATAAGTCCCATGGTGAGTATCCTCGTGCTTTGGCCATGCATGGACCAGTCAGCTTCTGGGTGTGACTGGAGCAGGGCTTATCATCTTCTTCAGAGTCACTTTGCAGGGATTGTTTGGGCTTGGTCTCACCTCCTAGGTCTCAGGTGCTGTGGGTTTCACGCAGCTGTGGTGGATCCAGGCTGGGATTCCTTTTACTTTTACAGCTGTGGGAGTGGTCAAGACAATGGTCTGGGGTCCTTTTCATTGTGGCTGCAAGGGGGCTATGTTCTAATCCTTGATCTACACCTGATCACCTTTGCTGTCCTCTGTAACAAGTCAGCCACAAACATCAGCCCATTGTCTGAACCAATTCATAAGGGCTGTCCAAATCTAGGGATGAGATCTCCACGTTTGGGCATCTGGGTGAAGTCTACTTGGAGATCTTCAAAGGGGGCTGTTATATAAGCCTGTATGCCAGGCAGGACAGTTGGACCTTGCCTAGCATTGTGCTGCTGGGAGATGACACACTGCTGTGCCACTGTTTTGGCAAGGGCTGACAGACACAAGATGTAGAAGTACCAGCTTAATTTTTCAAGTGACTCTTGGCCTAGGTGGGTGGTCTCATGCACAGCCAGTATGACTGCAGCTCCTAGCAGTTGTGACACAGCTATTCTTCCATCCAATAACCAGATCCATCCTTCTTCTAATACCTGCCCTCCCTCTGGTTGATGAAATGCCGGGGTGAAAGGGATAGCCAATTGGACTAAAGCACAAGTGCCATTCCAATTATTCGGCAGTGTCCAGTAAAGGTCCACCACAATACCACCACACATCCGCTCAGGGATGAACAAGGGCTGACTTATTGGTAAGCTCTTGAAAATTCTTAAGCTCACTGCATCCCTTCAGGTCTCCAAGAAACACTAAATTTCCTTCCTGTCTTGACAGACATGAAGTGAACTTAGTGTTGGGAGACAGAAGCTGGATGGCCCTCAGGGGCTGACCCGCAGGGTGTCGTACTTTGGGATATAGCAGAGAGGGAGATTAGCACAACTTATTACTCCAGGCTGTAGAATCCTGGAAAAGAGCTACCATGCAGTCCATGCCTGGTCGACTGAAGGACCACCTTAGTGGAAAGGGGATAATCTGGGCCTCTGGGCTGCCGTGCACACAAGCATAACAATTGCTTTCATTTAACATGCGGAAGGAATATTTGATCCATTCCAACCAGGCATTTACATCTTGATATCCTGTCTTAATTGTCAAGGTTTGTTTTAAGCCTTTAACAACTATGATACTCTAGTAAAATGAACGTATGGTTTTAGGAAATTACAAAAACCAGTTGGGGCAGTCCATCCTTGCTCTTTAGTGGTCACAGAACATTGGACCAACTACAGAATAAAAGCTCTACTTTGGGGATGGGCAAGACTCCTGGCTGACACTGGGGTCTTTATCAAAATGTCCTCAGATTAAATGGTCCTAATTTACTAATGCCTAGTCTGAGGAGAGTCAGGAGGGACAGAAGTACTTTTCTGAATTAGAGAGCTGTCTTTGACTTGGTCAGTCCCTACAGGTTATAACAAGGCAAGCATTAAATGCAATAGTTTGGGGTGAAATTGACTTGGTTATGTTAATAACTAGATGGTCAGCAATAGAGTGAGGAAAGAGGAAACAGTAATAGAATAAATAAAAGAGTTAAATTTTTCTTAGCTTTAGTTTGGTAGGGTTTTCCCCTGGAGCTATGGCCCACGACTCTAGAGGGGGTGGTGCTTTCTTGACTCAGGTGTGATGAGTCCATCCCTTTTCTGTATGAACAGCAGTCTCGGTGGTTAGGAGCACAAGGTAGGGTCCTTCCCAGGCTGGCTTGAGTTGTCCTTCTTTCCACCCTTTGATGAGAACATGATCTTCAGGCTGGTGCTGGTTTACCG